GGCTTTTTTCAAGAAGCCCTAAACCCTAAACCCTAAACCCTAAACCCTAAACCCCTAAACCCCTAAACCCCTAAACCCCTAAACCCTAAACCCCTAAACCCCTAAACCCTAAACCCTAAACCATTCAAGCCCCTCAGAGGCAGCTCCTCGGTCTGGTCACGAGGCGACCTTTGCTTTGGCACGTGCCAAATCCACTGGGCAAGTGCCGACGCTGCTTAGCCTTCCCCAGGGTTTAGGGTGTAGGGTTTAGGGTTTAGGGTTTAGGGTTTAGGAAATAGGCTTATAGGATCCTGAGAACTACCCATAGGCCCCATAGTAGTAATTTTGGGATTTACCTTATAGGCTTCTATATATGAACCCCAAAAAGGAACTACTCTAGGGCCTCTGAGTAGCCTTCACTAGGTGGGCCTTTGGGGATATTTCAGATTTGTTCCCCTGTTTGGGCTTCAGAGGTTCTTGGCTACGATTTTATACGAATGGTTCTCAGATGCTTTACGGGGCCAACTAGACCTAGAGGTGTCATGTGTTTATACAATTTAGTATAGAAGGCCTAGTCTAAGGCTCAGGCTTCAACAGAAGGTCTAACAGAGTTATAGGGTCAAGTTGAGCCATTAGAGCTCTGCTTCGCGGCTTAGGGTTGCAGGTTTGGCCTTGAACATGGGGTCTTATAGGGCTTCATGCCTCCGTCTATGTATGATTCCTGCGATTAGTATTAGCCCCCTTCGCGTTTGTGCCGGACAACTCAGGCTCACGCCACCATCGGAACCTCTGCTGAGTTTTTACAACATGGGACCCTAGACTCTAGGCCCTAGGCTCCTAAACCCTAAACCTTAGGCCCTAGACCCTTTTCAAGTGTTTGGATAGATGAGCTCGGCATCGGACGCATTATTTTGCCTAGACCTTCGGGTGATGTCCAGTCTCTGCTTAGCACCTGTAGGAGCGGTGTTGATTTGGGTTCAGGGTCTACAGGGTTCACGACGCAGTTTTTTTAAGTGATATATTCAAGAGTTTACACGCTCCGCTGTAAGATTTGAACCCTTGATCTTCATGTAAGGCACACGGCAGCATGCAGCCTATGTCGGCTTCCATGACTGCACCTGCAAGTTCGACAGGATTGACGGTCTTCTGGCTCAAGACTCATTGCTTCTACGGGTTTTGCTGTAGAGCTTTCGCTTGTGGTAGCAAAAAACTATTTTTGTTGACGGGTGATGCTTCATAATCTTGCCCTCAGGGTCCAAAGGACCCAATAATAGGTTGCGGATCGTAGTTATCTAGGTTAATATTCGGGAGAGTATATGATTATTAGGTACTTGGACCCTTAAGGTTGGGGTCAGAGCCTACTATGCTGTCGCGTTTCAGAGCAGGGGCCCGGGTGTTGATATCTTGGGTCAAGGGTAAGCCCTAAACCCTAAATTTCAAGTTCTGAACCCTAACCCTAAACCCTAAACCCTAAACCCTCAAACCTAAACTCTGGTCTTGGGTGCAGAGCCCAGAGGTTGGAGTCTGGGTTTCCCTAAAGTCTCCATTGTAGTGCATTTTGTTGGTTAGCCCATCTCGTCGCTGGATCCTATAGTAAGAAACAAGGCAATCAATGAAAAAGGACCCGCAATGAAGACTATGGGCAGGGCGTTAACGATGAAGGGGCTCTACATTTTTCTCATTGTTTAATAGAATTCGTGGTTGAAGACCATTCTCTGATCTACGAAAGTGCGCTCAAGAAGTCGTATGACTGAAAGGCGCTAGCCACTAATATGGAGGTCTTAACAATTAGAACAGGGTTTGGGGGTATATTATACAACAGTTATATATAATAACGAACCCCCAAACCCTAGTCTATTTATCAAGGCCCCGACAGTAGCCACTAGCCATGGACCATCTCAGAACCGAAGAACAGAGCTCGGATGTAGCAGTTCAGGCCCGTAAGCTGTCTGAAAATGACAAATCCGAAACCCTAAATTCAGATTTTAAACACCCCAAAAGTATGTCGAATAGTCGCCTTTTATAGGTGCTGGGCCATGATTTTGCCTACTTTTGGGGGGGTTTAGGTAAACTCTAAACCCGCCTAACCCCCTCCCAGCTGCGCAGCTAAGATGGATGTTGCCGGATCGAACTACCCCCAACCAAGGCCCTAAACCCTAAACCCTAAACCCTAAAGGGATTGCTAGGGAGCCGGGTGCTGCAGCGCCTCAGACCCGATTTCGTGCACAGGTCTTTGTTTAGAGTTTTGGGGATTGGGGGGGTTTATAGGGATAGTACATGGGATCCTTGCTTGTATAAGAAGCGTCAAACGGGTTACTATAGGGTTTTGGGAGTGATTAGGTGGTAGGCTTACTATAGGTTTTTCGGGAACATGTCCAACATCTAAGACCAAAAACTGACTTCTGCTTCTTGCTTTGGGGCGCGCAGGTGTGTGCATGCGCATCTTCTTTTGTGCTTTGTTGTCGCAGTGGGTGTTTGCGGGTGGACTGCGCCCGTATGTAGACAGCGCATACCAGCATCTGCGACTACATCTGTCTCTGTGTGTGTAATGTAGGAACCTGATTAAGAAACCCTGGCCCTAAAACCCCAAAATAATAGGATTCATGTAAATGACATTAAAGAACCCTAATAAGGACCCAGGGTTTCTTAATCAGGTTCCTACAGTATCGTGCGTGACGGGGTACATACGCCATCGTTTCGAGGCGCATGGTTGCTGTTTGCGGTGTTTGACAAGCACTTGAACTCGCAAATCACAGGAGCTGAAGAAGTCTTTAGGGTTTACGGTTTAGGGCAAAGCACATATTCCTGGCGCCCCTGTACTAGATTTAACCCACCCATTCTTCCTTCCCGTAGGCTTGAAAACATGCCCGCCCTACACCTGTTTTTCCTTGACACATCCACAAGACTAAACCCCTGAGCCTTCAATCCTAGACGCAAGATCCTGGCGCAGAACCCTAGACCACATCTCCTTTGTCCTGCAAAGGTTACCTGCCGAACCCCAACTCCTAACCCCTAAAATTGAACCTAAGCGCTATAAACCCTAACCCCTAAACCCTGAACCTACGCCCCATAAAGCCCTGTAAAAAAACCCTAAGCCCTAGCCCTAACCAATAGACCCTGAACCTAAGCCCTATAAACCCTACACTCCAAGCCCTAAACCCTGAACCCAAACCCTGAACCCGAACCGGTGAGGGGGCAGCCGGCAGCCCGAACGCCAGCCGACCAGCCAGCGCGTTTACAGCTGCTGGCAGGCAGTTTCGGTTTGGGAGAATCAGGTTAAGTTCTTAGCAGCCCTAAACCCAAAGCCTTGTCGTTCAAATAACAACCCTGTGTGATGGTCACCGTGAGCCTTAACCTGGGGTGTGTGTATAATTCTCGCTTTCGTCGTGACAGTGAACTGTGCCCTGTAGTGAAGAGGTGCCAGAATGTTTATTTCACTTCGTGTGTGCTTGCAACGGCAGGCAAGAACGACTCCTGCATGGTCAACACACTTAAAAAAGCTTCAAACCACTTCAATCCCTAAACCCGATACCCGAAATCCAAAACCCTAAATCCTCAACCCGAAACCCTAAATCCCTAAATCCCTTAACCCTGAAGCTAAGCTTTGGGGTTTGGAGTCATCAGTGTTTGCTTTAGGCTTCAGGGTCTGATGTCCACGAGTCTAACATACCTTGATAATTACCTACATTCTACATTATCTTGGGGGTTCTTATTGTTGCTACAGCATAATATACCCCAAAACCTTATTCTAATTCCTGCATGATGCTACCGTTGGAGCATGATTTTCGCTGTCGCGTCTTATTGAGGTTTCCAGCTTTGCGGAGACAGAAATGTTTTCCTCCGGCGTGGGCCATTTAACAATGAGAAGAAGAAGCGGAACAATAATAACACGGATAGTATGGCCTCTATGGAAATCCATTATATTGGACTCCAGAAGTTTTCGGCTAAGGGTGTCTGAGTCAGATGTTCAGATTTTGCTGTTTAGGAGCTTACAAGAACTAGGGCTGACATTCGGAGTCTACCTCAAGGACGAAAAAGAACCTTAAAAGTAGGGGCCCTATACCCTTATACTATGAATCCCTATATGGCATATGAACCCTAAACCCTTTTAAGGCTCTTTTCGTCCTGAAGGTAGGATGTAGGGCTTACAGGCTTCAGGGGTGACGGTTTAAATGTTGGTTTTGGTGCTCGCCTTTTACCAGCCCGGAGCCTGTACCTCAAGCACAGCAGCATTATAGGGGTTTCGGGGTTTGGGGTTATAGGGTTAGAGGGGTTTAGGGTTTAGGGTTTAGGGTCCACAGCAGTCAGATTTGTTCTAGGTCCCCCTTTGCTGCACATGTACCTGTCAATCTCAGGGGTTCCTTTATCGAGCGTCAAGCAAGGGGGTTTCGGGTTTAATGTAGGGGCCTAAATAATTACCAATACCTTTTTGGGGCTTCCTTATTCGAAATATGGTATAATATACCCCAAAAACCCTATTCTAACTATTACGGCCCCTACATTATGGTATAATATACCCC